AAAGGCCAGACTGAGCTTCTGAGGGGGAAAAAAATTCAATTTTCTGTAGATCTAATTTGAAACCATTTTAATGCTCATTAAGATAGAGAGACCCAAGGAGATTGTGAGGGCTGGAAGAGAGGGAGGGGGAAAAAGGAGTTATTATTGACGTTTTAGTTTAGGTCTTTATTCTGCCCAGACCTCCCCACTTCTGGGCAGCAGCTTTGAGTGATGCTATTGTTAGCACTGGAATTGTAATTCCAATATCATTTTTATAACTGTCTTGGAAAAAAAAAAATGAACCCTGAAGGCCTTGACTGAATTCAAAGTAGTGGAATTTACAGTGGTAAAAAGAGATCTGAAGGTGGAGAAAAGGGCAAACCCCCGTGCTGTCCTTCCCTATCATGGGGTGGCCACCCTGGGTGGCCCCTCTGCAGCACCTCCCTGGGGTGCTTGGTGGGGGGGGGGTGAAGGAAAGGATTCCCAGTGGACACCTGGATGAGGCTGTGTCCCAGCTTGGCCACCCTCTGGAGCTGTATCCCAAAGCCACTCGTCCATCTGCTGGGTCACAGCCCTGGGGACAACTGTCCTGAGGGGAAATGTGTCCCTTGGCAGTACCCAGCTCTGTGCCTTCAGCCAAGGGCTGGGATGGGGACTGGAACAGCCACAAAGGGCGTTTGTTTGTTTGTTGTATTGCTTTTTATTTTTATTCTATTTTATTTTATGTATTAATTATATCACTCTCTGTGAGTGCTTGTGCAGAAATACAAGATTTAGTGAAGGTGGCTGCCTCTGCCCTGTGGGTGCAGGGTGGTCTTGTGGGCAGGTGGGCCTAAACCAGAGCCTAAACCATAAGAGCCTGATGCCTTGGCTTGCTGCGGTGCTCTGCTCCCTAACACTATTGCTGACAGTTTTGCTTGATGCAGGCAAAGGTTCTGGTTTTGTTTCCCAACTAACTTCCTTGAATTTTGCTTTACAGCAGCGTGAAATGAAGTGTGTTAAGCAGATTTGTTTTCCTTTGCCCCCTGGTATTGAATTATGCTTTTGCGAGGGTGCAAGAAAGCGAGTTCATATCTGGGATCAGGCTGTCTGCTAGTTATAGTCACTTCTCTTGCACCCAGCAGCTGCTGGGTTTCTGGATCTCAAATATCTTAATTAGAGAGTAAAAAGTATGCGAGGCAGGAATCGATACCTTACACAATGCCTTTTGCAACAGCCTGACAGGAGGTTGGAGCCAGGTGGGGAGCGGTCCCTTCTCCCAGGTAACAAGAGACAGGATTAGAGGAAACAGCCTCAAATTACACCAGGGGGGCGTTTAGGTTGGATACTAGGGAAAATTTCCTCACTGGAAGGGTTGTGGAGTCACCATCCCTGGAGGGATTTAAGGGACGTGTAGATGTGGCACTTGGGGACACGGGTTAGCGGTGAGCACGGCGGTGTTGAATCAGCGGTGGGACTCGATGATCCCAGAGGATTTTCCCTGCTCCCTGCGATTCGTATCGATGTCTGCAGAGGGCAGCAAACCCCCAAAATGTCCCTCCCGCCCCCCGGATACCTCGGGATGCTCCTTTGGGAAAGCCCTGGGTAACACTGATCCGCTCCCCAGCAGGATGGGAACGGGGTCCTCAGACCCCCCACCACGGCCTCAAGCCTCAGCCCGAGGTCTGGCTCCATCCCCCGCTCCTGCCCCACTCGCTGAACCCAAACCCCACCTCCCACCGCAGCAAAGACAGCAAAAAGTCTTGTGGGAATGTGCCGTTGTCCTTGTTTCCCCTGTGCTGCCGGGGAATCACTTCTGCTTTAGGAAAAAAACAAGCCTTGACATGTGGTTTCTGGCCCGTTTTGGCCTCAAAAAGCACAAGCAAGAAGATCTGTGTGTTGGCAAAGGATAGAGTGGAAGTGTCCAAGCATGCAGTGGCTCCAGCCATGTGGGGACAGGACTGACCCCAGCTCGGGGAAAAGCCCCCAGCAGTGGTTTTGGGAGAGTCCCTGGATCTCCCCTGGAGTCCCACTGGCCTCCCCTGGAGAGGACAGGCCTCTGTTGCAGGGGAATCGCAGGGTGAGACCCAGGAACAGGTACAAAGTGTTTGGAAGCACCACAGTGCTGTGTCCAGCCAGAGGGGTTTGCATGTTGGCAATGGGAACTCACATAATTCCCCAAATTTCACAGGGGCTGTACAGCATGTGATGATGAAAGCTGAAGCCCCTCAGCCACTGGTACAGCCAGGGAAACAAACAGGAGTCTTCCCACTCCAGATTTAGCTCTTTATTGATTTTCCAGCTGCATCCATCAGTCACCGTCCCAGGGCTTTACTCATTAAAGGCATCACAGAAAGAGAGGAAAACAAGACAGGGTTGTGGTTTTGATGAAAAACGTTAAACATCCCAAAAAGGAACTTCTGGAAGGAAAATTTGTCCTTTTCTAGTGTTGGGACTGGGTTACATTTATTCTTGAACAGTTCAGAGGCACCAAGGGCTGCTGGTGGTCTGGGGCTCAGCCACCTCCAGCTCCTGGGGCCCTCCTTCCCTGTGCCACTGGCAGTGCTGTCACCTGCCCGAGGGACTTGGGAGCCTCCAGTCCAGCTTGTCACCTGCGTCACACTCGAGGATAAACATAAAACCTGCTCCAAACTCCACCTGACTGCCCTGCAGTGGACATGCTGTCCCCTGTCTGTTCATGCTGCTGCTTCCCCTCACCTACAGGCAACGTCCCTGTTGGTGACTGAAGATGGGTCACATCCTGCAGGTCTGTCCCAGGGAGCCCCTCTGCTCTGGAGCCAGGCTGGGAGAGCTGGGGGGGCTCAGCCTGGAGAAGAGAAGGCTCCAGGGAGACCTGAGAGCCCCTTCCAGGGCCTAAAGAGGGTCCAAGCTGGAGAGGGACTTTGGACAAAGGCTGCAGGGACAGGACAAGGGGGAATGGCTTCCCACTGCCAGAGGACAAATGAGGAAATGACAGCTGGATATGAGGAAAAAATTCTTCACTTTTAGAGTGTTGAGGCCCTGGTACAGGTTGCCCAGAGAAGCTGTGGCTGCCCCTGGATCCCTGGAAGTGTCCAAGGCCAGGCTGGATGGGGCTTGGAGTAACCTGTTCTAACGAAAGGTGTCCCTTCCCATGGCAGGGGGTGAGACAGGATGAGCTTTAAGGTCCCTTCCACCCAAATTGTTCTGTGATTCTATGAGTAAAATCTGTGTCCTCCCCCTCGTAGAGCAATCCCACCCCAAGGAGCTGCCCCCTGTCCCTGTGGTTCAGCAGGACGTGGCCCAGGGGTGCAGTGGATGCGTCTCCAGGCTCCCCTCCCGCCCCCAAAGCATCCCCAGAGGGGAGGGCTCTGCTCCCCGTGCCCAGTGCCAGGCTGGCTTTGCTGACTCAGCAGCACACACCCTGTGTAAACACC